ACCATGAATTGAGACAACACATGAACAACATAAGCCAAGTCAGGACGACTGATTGTGAGATAAATGAGCCGCCCCACAAGTCTGCGATAACGCTCTGGGTTGGTGAGAAGCGGGCCACACGCTAGAGCCAGTCGTTGATTCTGAGGAAGGGGAGTGGAAGCCAGACGAGCACCCAGAAGTCCAGTCTCACAAAGTATATCTAGAGCATATTTGCGCTGGCATATGAAAATCCCTTTCGAATTACGGGCAACCTCAACGCCCAAAAAATATTTTAAGAGACCAAGGTCCTTCATATGGAAGCAATCAGATAGATACCGTTTAAATTTGCCAATGAAGCCTTCATCATTTCCTGCGATCACAAGATCATCCACATACACCAACACACGGAGCTCGATGGTGCCGCGCAAAAGAGTAAACAGAGAATAATCAGCCTTGGATTGATGGAACCCAAAGTGTTTTAATGCAGAGGTGAGTTTAGCAAAAAAACAACGTGGAGCCTGTCGAAGACCATAGAGAGATTTATGAAGACGGCAAACCAATCCTTTACCGCGAGAGGCAAACCCGGGGGGAAGAGTCATGTATATTTCATCGCGAAGGTCTTCATGAAGAAATGCATTATGAACGTCCATCTGATGTAAGAACCAATTTTGGGTAGCGGCAACAGCTAAGAGAGTGCGAACAGTAACCAATTTAGCTGTTGGTGCAAAAGTTTCTTTAAAATCAATTCCCTCTTTCTGACGATTGCCAAGCACTACCAAACGAGCTTTGTAGCGTTCAATGCTACCATCAGACTTGTGCTTGATTTTGTAGACCCACTTAGATCCAATTGTTTTCCTTCTTGGAGGTAAGGGGACGAGTGACCAAGTACCATTAGCTTCCAACGCCTGAATTTATTCCTTCATAGCTTGTACCCATAGCGGATTTTTGACCGCCTCAGAAAAGAATGTAGGCTCAACATCTGCACTTATAGCTGCCAAAAAACATCTATGAGAAACAGAAAATTTGTCAGCGTTAATAAAATTTGTAATATAGTGTGTTGTACCTGAAGGTGTTGTTGGTTTGAGTGAATCAGGAGAGGGACGTTGAATGGTGTGAGTGACAAAGTCACGCAGTCGCGAAGGAGGACGACGTTCTCTTTCACTTCGGCGCAAAGTGTCTTGGGTTGGAAGGGTTTGGTTATCAAGGGCAGAAGAAGGTTGGACTGGGTCATTGGGTTGGCTGTTTGGTTCTGATGTTGCA